ATTTTTGTATGGATTTTTTAATGGAAAAACATTGGTTCGAGTTCGAGGCCCAAAAAATGTAAATTTTCTATTTCCACTTACTCTCAAGCTAATCTTTCGCGGCCATTTTTTCACTAATTTTACCTCTGAAACCTGGTGACCCCCACCTCCTTCATTTGCAAATATCTCAACTTGTATTCAAGATACATGGATATTTTTTATCCTAAGCAAAACAAATGATCAAGTTTTAGTTTTAATACGATACCAATTATAATTCTGCACGCCCAAAAATTGACGAGAGCCTGATTCCACCGCGTCACGACACATATATATATCTGCTTCACTGTTGTTTCAAATAAATTGCCTAACAGTCCAGTCCATTTATAACAGCCTCTGTTATTACGTGAACTTGGATAACTGATAAATCAAATCGCCATTTTTTTTCTCTATTAGTGTAAGTAATATGAACCTGGCTTATAACCAATTCAATTTGAGCAGAGTCGGATAACAGTGATCTTGCAGCATATGAACTTGCTTTCGATCCATCAGATTATTAAAATTTGAGTTTAGGCAAGCGATCATACAAAAAAACTTTCAAACACCCCCCCCCCCCCCCCCCATTGCCCCGACCAAAACATTTCGCCTGGTTGTATGATCACTTGCCTAAAAATAAACAAACTTTCAAATACATACCCCCCCATAGTGTTGGGGTCACTGATCAATTCTGTCTCAAAAACAGCCCACTGGAAAAGAATCTGTGGTAATCGAACAGATATATATATATTAAGCTGCAGGTGTTTTCCTTGACAACTGTTATAACAGGACTCGTTTATAACGGGGGAAAACTGCCAGTCCTCTCTGCCCTGTTATATCCAATTTTTGGGGGTTTTATTTGTTGGGTTGGGGGGGTTTTTGTAAGTGTTTTACGTCGCTCGCATCTGCATAAGGTCATATGAGTGCGCTGGACACATTAAACATTTTCAGTTGATAGGCAATTTTGAATTTTGCCGGGAGTGACGGCCGAAGCCTACTCTTATCGATTTTAGACCACCAAGGGATCTTTAACCGTCTCGTGAAACTTGCACACGCGACATCAGAGATTTTTCGCCCTTGTCTGGGAAGGCTAGGTGTAGATCTTTCCTACCAGAAGATCAGGGGTGTGGCTGAAAGACAGCAGTGAGAAGGAACCAAGGAGTAGCAGTAGACAGGCTGCAGAAAGAGTCGGGAGCCCAGAGGAGGGGGCAAAGGAGCAGAAAGTGTAGACAAAAGCCGATGATGACACAACATTGCTTGAAAGCAGGAAAAGAGGTGACATGAAAGGAGACAATTTTAGAGAATCAAAATTTTTTCCGTCGTTACCCAGATTCGAACCCGGGACATTTAACGTCTAGGCCACGAGAGCCCCATATCCAAGTTTGACTGCATTTTCCTTTCTCTTATTATTTTATTTTTCAAAAATTAAAGGAGGTTGCCCCCATCAACAAAAATTAGATAATTTTGGAGGTGGTCATCTACGCTGCCTGTCAGGGCCAACCAAGCAGAAACAACGAAATTCAAAATACTCTATAAAAATGTTCCCTCCACTCGGGAATCTAACTCGGGTCTCCTCTTGAAGTCTAAGTGCCTAACCGCTACTCATGCTAGAAAGTCAAAGACGAAACTCAGCAAGGTTTGTCCTTTCCATCCAAATCATCAAAATTAAAACCCACTTGACATAGTTTCAGTACAAGATTTACTTGCAGCACAAACCCCCTGTATTTCTGTGTTTCCATTTTAAAGCAAGTGTTTTTATGGCGGTTGCAACACAATAAGGTCAAATAAGTGCCCAATATTAGAGATGTTACAAGAGAAGGAGGAGAAGATATATATAGACAATAGATATTTGATAGGAAAGAAGCGACAGATTGTATATAAGAGCTGAGGAAAAGGTGTGTTACTAGAGACTAAGAGACCGTAACATGCAAAGAAGGAGCAGAAATGAGCAAACCTAACCAGAGTATCCATCAGTCACCCACCAAATGAAAAGTATATTGACACAGTAATGATCTTTTTCTACAAGATGACTGGAAAAGCAAGACAGACGGACAGAAACAAAAGTAAAGAGTAGAAAAAGAGGGGAAATGGGACCTACCAATGGCCCTCCAACCATCCGTCTCACAGTTTGCCAGTTTTTTAGTTTTAGTAAGTGTTTTACAGCACTTGCAACACAATAAGGTCATGTAAGTGCCAAAGATTAGAGGTGTTACAAGAGAGTAACAAACACAAAAAAGAATAGAGATAAGGAAGGTAGATGTTTGATAGGAAAGAAGAAGCAAACCACACCAGAGTGCCCGCCAACCACCTACTGCCACAGTTTGCAAGGGACACCTGGGTAGATGGACACAGTGTGAGGGACCAGCATAAGGACAGACGGAACTGACCACAGCAACAATCTACAACAAACACCACAATGCTGGGATCAGTTATAGTTTAGTTTTAGTAAAAGTTTTACGTCATTTGCAACACAACAAGGTATGTAAGTGCTGAAGGTTAGAGGTGTTACAAGAGAGTAACAAATACAAAAAAAGGAGGGGATAAGGAATATAGATGTCTGACTGATAGGAAAGTGATAGGAAAGAAGGCGCTAACCTCACCAGAGCACCTGTCAACCACCCGCCCACACTGCTGTGAGCCCAACACTAGGGTCAAGATTTATCAACTCAAAACAAAAATCTCATGAAAAGATTTATTCATTAAAAGAGCTAAACACAAGGCAGTCCACCAGCTGTGTTAACAAGAACAGGTTCGTCATTCACCTAAAATCACAACAATCACGGAGACTGATTAAATAAAATCATACAAGAACTCCCCTAGAACTGGACAAGAAGAGAGGACACCATCAACACATCAAATCTATAATTCACTTTGCACAACATAGACATGCTGTGACAAACATATACCCACTGACACACTGTGACAAACATATACCCACTGACACACTGTGACACACATACAAACTGCTGCATCTCCCACAAGTACACACAAGTGACACACATATATATATATATATATATATATATAGACCTATATTTCATATTCAACTTTCTCTTTTTCGGTCTCTATAATAGCCTCACAACAACTGGACTGTACAGAGAGGACACACACACAAAATGCTGTTCTACTGTACCAGGACAAAGACTGCACAGCACCACAGTATAGTCTCCTCATATCTGTACTCATATATATTATATCAGCATTCTCTTACCCTTGGTTGGGAATACCTGGAACACCAAGGCTGAGTGTGACAAACAAAAAAAGACATTCTTACAAAGGATACCAAACCTCATTTATTGTAACTATGACAGTCTTGTCCTAGCACAGAGAACGCTGTAACAATAATATTACCACTTAGTATTACGAACACGACAGGAACAGTTCTACTTTTTGACACAAAACTTCAGCCACTTCCTTTTCCCCAACCCCTCCCTCACACCACAGTTCTACATCTTGCTCCATCACTACAAATACCCTGCACAGATTTCACGAGCTAATGGCAGCTGGAAACAGTACAAGAGTGCCCCTTTGAAGCACATACAACCAAGGCACACAAGAATGTAACAAAACCAGTATTGATGATGCACCAACAAGACAACAGAGAAAAATCCAAATCTTTACAATGTACAAAACAAGTCCAACACAGCACAACCATTCACTGTACAATGACCTCACAATAAATAAATGTTTACAAGGAGGGGGACTTTAATACGCACCCTTCCCTTCATCTTATATAAATGTTTGATTAACTAGGAAATGTTTCTTTATACAGTGAGGATGATTTGGAAAATGAATACTGAGCAGCTCAAAACAAAAAGTCAATCTTAATTAGACGAGCCCTGTCCGACACCATGGGGACAGTGTATGACAGCTTACAGTCAAGTCCACCCAGCACACACAAACAATACAGTACTTAAGGGAACCACAGAACTGACTAGATTTGAAACTAGAATATGTCTGCTTACTGTCTAGTGTCCTCACATAAGCACACTCTCTCTCTTTTAACTACTGGTGGCTTTCAACATAGAGAAAACTCCAGCAAAAACGATAGATCACACTTGTCAAACATGAGCAAAGTAAAGATACAACAAAAAAAAGATGTAAACAGTGAAAGCCCCGTTTGGCCTTCTTGCTGCTACAAACCAAAATGCTCCACTCCTCACTGGAACATGGCAGTCACCCTGAGCAGTCCAGTCTGCACAAACTATACATGGAATTTCTGAGTAGCAGGATCAGCATCACATCAAAGAATATCTAAACTGAATATCAAAAGAACATCAAACCAAGCAAACGCAGCTGAAATTCGTCAGACTGAATAAATGTTTCCATCAACCAGTACAGAAAAACAGCGGTCCATCAAAGAGAATTATCACAGGCTTCACCTCCACTATGCCGATCAGTGTTCCGCAGTGGCACAGGATAAGAACAGGGAAAGCAAAGTCTGCCCTGTCCCCCCCACACAAACTAAACAACACTTTCTACACTTCACTAACCCCTCACGGTGGAGAGAGAAACTTCAAGACTGATTACTCCCTCCCCCAGGACAAGCTCTCAGTCAACACAAAATATATCTCTACATTGCTTTCGCAACAAGGACATATGATTGTAATACACATAAAAAAGAAAATGACCTGTATAAAAAAGCTTTGAGGAAATCACATTTCTGACCCCTACATGCAGTTGAGAACAAATAAAACCAGTGACAATTCTTTTTTAATGATTTTTATGGAAGGATTGGATGAGGAGTGAGGTGAACAATGATATTAGAGAATGAGAGACAATGGGGGGGGGGGGGGGGTTGTTGTTGTTGAGTGTAATGAAGAAATAAATGGATAATTTTATCTCCTTCCTACAGCTTCCTGTAGCTCTCACTACATGCATGATCTGGTTACAGGAAAGACATCTTGGATTTCAGTTTTGATAATAGGACAGTACACAAGTCCCTGTAATCACTTTGAAGATAGCACTTAAAATGCAGCATCAAAATCTTTTTTTTTTTCACATTGAGAGACCTGAAGAAGCATATCACTGCAACCCTGCAGATAGGAGCAGCCTCCGTCATTCAGTAAACAGCATGTGCTTTCCGGTCCTCTCACACGTCAATAGCTATAAAATGCAGTGCTGTAATACTTAAGTATACACATAAATTACAATAGCCGCTTTGCACAAGCAGCCACTAAGCCCGTGGTCAACGAATACACAGAAAACAAGCTGCTTTTATTTCAAAAGACCATTCCTGAAAAACAAGCAGAGCTGCAGTGTACCAACACAGACAGGACCAGTAGTATCCGCACGTCCGAGGCCTCCGAGAGCTACAGGTCAGGGGCCACAGTCTACAAATCCTACTCACCAGTCTTTGGATCATTACAAAGTTATTAAGGCCACTGCACACTTTGAAAAGACAGCTATTGCCAGCCTTTCACATAGTCTTTTATTACAGCCACATCGTTTTAAGGGACTAACTTAACCACAACTTGCTTCAGGAATTCACACTACTCCATTGCCACTGAAAAGAGCCAGTCCAGAGACCATTGCAGAAGAGAAAAAGCTCCCTCCGAATGTGTTACCACTGTGTTATTTCTGCACCTGTCAGCACAGGGTGGTGACCCTCTCCATAAGTGCACAGACCCTTCTGGATATATCGGTATGCTGGTCTGTAACTTTCTCTATCCTGACGTGTATAAGCACAGACAGGACATTCAGGCCACCAGTATGACAAGTCCACAGCTCTTTCTCTCTCTCTCTCTCTCTCTCCCATCATGTGTATCTCTCTTGTCCCTCTACATGTGTGGCCTCGCTATTCAGGCCACCAGTATGACAAGTCCACAGCTCTCTCTCTCTCTCTCTCTCTCTCTCCCATCATGTGTATCTCTCTTGTCCCTCTACATGTGTGGCCGCGCTATTCTGGGCACCAGAATGATGGGCCCGTGAGGCTGCATGGCGGCGGCCGCTGGGAGCATGTGCTGGGCCATGTGGTGTACACCCGGCACCAAGCCGTGGAGCTGGGCAGCGTGGGCCGGCTGGAGCTGGGCCGCTTGTACCTGAGCCGCCTGGGCGTGGGCGGCCTGCACCTGAGCTGCCTGTACCTGGGCAGCTTGGGCCTGTGCTGCCTGCGCCTGGGCCTGGGCCTGCGCCTGTGCCTGAGCTTGAGCTTGAGCCTGGGCCTGAGCCTGGGCCTGGGCCTGTGCTTGTGCCTGAGCCTGAGCAGCCATCATGTGGGTCACGTACTGGGTGCCGGACACTGGCAGACCGTGGTGGGCTGCCATCTGGTGGATGAAAACAGTATTACAATCAGGCGATCGGGACAACTCAAGAGGGAGATTGAAATCACATGGGACACACACAGAGACGAAAAATAAGAGAGAGATAAAGAAAGAAGGGGAGAATGAGAGACGAAGAGCTAACCATTTGAACGTCTAACCCACTCCAGAAGGCATTCTTTTTAGTTAGAAAGGCCTGTCCAATTTCAAACAAGACATCACGGTTCTGAATCTATGACATAAATGTATTTGTATCCATATCACATTGATTATCAAAACTTTCGACATAGCCACCACTACTTTTTTTACAGCTATTTCTAGATTCAATACAGATGCTATGGGTACGGTACTGTATTGCCAAAAAAAAAAGTTCCTTGTAAATAATCTACAACCACCTCCCAATCCCATCAATCCTGCCTGTTAGGAAAAACTCCAGTCAGCTCTTCCCAATGTGAGAAGCAAACAAAAGTTAAACGAGTTAAAGATGGGTTGTTTTTTTACAAGTGTTTTACGGCGCTCGCAACTGCATAAGGTCATATGAGCACGCAGGACACACTTAACTTTTTCAGTTGGTTGGAAATTTTGGATTTTGCCTGGGTGGCAGCCGAAGCCTACTCTAATCGATTTTAGACCACCAAGGGATCTTTAACGTGTGCAACTAGCACACAAGCTCTCCGAGATTTTTCGCCCATGTTCGAGAAGGCTAGGTGAAGATCTTTCATACCAGAAGATAAGGGGTGTGGTTGAAAGACAGCAGTAAGGAGTCGAGGAGTAGCTGTAGAAAGGCAGCAGAAACAGTCAGGAGACCAGAGGAGGGGGCAAAGGAGGTGAGGAGGAGATGGTAGAAAGAGGAGACAAAAGCAGACGACAGAACATTGCGAGAGAGGAGGAAAGGAGGTGAAAGGTCACAATTTTTTAGAAAAACATTTCTCCGCCCCTATCGGATTCGCACCTTTGAATGAGAGCACCCCCCCCCCCCCCCCCCCCCCCCCAAAGTTCAATTTCGCCTTAAACGTTAGTCACGAAAGGACTTCGTTGAGCAATAAAAAGCATATAGACAAACAAACAATCATTAAGTGCAGAGAAGGACTAAAACAGACAGTTGGACAGACAGAAATATTACCTAAAAGTGACACCCTCCAACCACAATCAAAACTAATTCAAAGTGCAGTTTTTAAAAAATATACAAAAACCAAGAAAGAGGGGAACAAAACAAATTTGACAACAACTGCTTCCCCCTCCACCCCCTTCCCTTTCCTCTAGTGATGAGCAGCCCCTGTGTAGTCCCTCACCTGTAAAGGGTGTGCTGCAGCGTGCACGCCCCCGCCGGCCATCAACATATGATGCTGCTGTACGTGAGCCGGAGAAGCCGCCATGGCCTGGGGCACAGCAATCATGGGAGCGCCTGCCTGGAGGGGCATAGAGGAAGGCGTGGCGTACGCCATTTGACCGTTGGGCAGCTGCACCAGCTGAGGTTGATTACTAGCGGTTGCCGCAGCAGCCAGATGGTGGTGATGAGCAGCAGCGTGCGGGTGAGCGGCGTGCAGAGCCGGGTGCGAGGCGTGGACCAGCTGCGCCGCAGACACCAAACCGTAGGGGGAGGGCGAGGCGGCCACCGCCTGCTGCTGGATTATCACAGCTGGCTGTTGAACCAGCGGAGACTGGGCCGAGGGCATAAGGATAGTACCGCCCTCCTCTACTGCCACTTCCTCTGCCCCCTGAGCGGCCAGCAGGGCCGCCTCCTCCATCTCCTTCTGCTCAGCCGCCAGCTTGGCCTCATCCTCTTTCTTTTTGGCTGCTTCCTCGTCCTCGTCACTGCTCTCTGGCTCTCCCTTGGCCTGGTGCTCCTGACGACGGAGTTGCTTCTTGGCATGCTTCTCTGCTTTCTCCTGAAACCCACATGTTTTTTTGTTTTAGTAGAGGTTTAACGGCGCTCACAACTGCATAAGGTCATATGAGCGCGAAGGGGTGGATGTCAACAGAAAAGTCCTTACAGGGAATCGGACTTACTCTGCTCACCTCTCTAGCTTCAACAGCACATTGTCTGCTTCGACTATCAAGGCACCCCAGAAATAGCGGGTCACCAGAGTGTGACAAAAACACAAAAGAAGTAGAGGGAAAATGACGATAGTAAGGATTAGGAAAGAAAAAGCAGCAGTTCCCTGTTGCAGTTCAGGCACAGTTATGAGCACGACATTGTTGGATCAGCCCATTTACAATACTACTGTGCATTAGAACGAGAAATGTCCCCCCTTTGGGAATGGCCTAAAGACGCTTCAGTCAGGGGCACCGCCCCCGAGGGGTTGAAACCCACAACAGCAGATGGCTTTACTTGAGACAGGAAAACACCACACACAATGCTTTTGCTTTAAAAGATCTTCAGACAAAAATATCTCCAGACAATAAACAACCATAATACTTGCTGTGTTCTACCTGGCAAAAGTAAAACAGCACCTCAAACATACTATGAAACACTCTGGGAAATTTACTATTCTGTACAAGCAATGCATGCTACAAAAACCAACACATCTGAAAGGTGGAATGTTAACCTGGCCCTTAACAAAATCTCAAATTGTTCCATAAATCAAACTTGTTCCACTTAATAGACTAAGAAGCAAACATGTGACTTGTCACATGCTTCAGCAAGAGCCCCATCCAATCCAGTGACAATAGGCAAGTCAAAAGATCAATGACTGGGAGCAAGACTCAAATGTCACTTTGCGATTTGATGTCTGTCCCGAGTCTTGTGCCCCAGCCATCAAGATGTCTATGTGCCTCTCCTTGTAGTGTGAACAACCCATCCAGCAAAGTTAAAGTCAAGTTGACCACCCGTACTTTAAAAGTGTTTTAACTTGTGTCACGTTTGGGTTGACGCTCTGCCAGCTTGATTTGATCAACAATAATTATCATTTCAAATTGATGTGTGTGCCTTTATCCTTTGTTAGAAAATGTTTATGCCTTCCATTTTATACTCTTCAAATGTGATTCATGATTGGATAACAATCATTTATTACCAGTCTAAACCATCGACAAACTGAAATGAGGAAATACATTCTCCGGAAAGTGGAAAATTGTTTTTAAAATCGTTATTGGACTTTTTAAAAGTACATTTTCACACACAATCCTCATAATCACCAGAATAACAAAACAAGTTGCAGAATATGAATCCCTATTCAATTCCCTACAATTCACACACTATGTTGCAGGTTTATGTCTGCAATTTACATGTCTCGATCATACACTTGGCTGTGTCAGAGCTCTGAATGAGAAAAAATCAATTACCAAGCAAAGATTTTCAATAGCCCCACTCTCAAAAACACATATCCAGTTCTGGTATCATGAGACAGTATACTTAGATATATACTTACGCGCAACTGTCTGTACTGTTCCGCCTGTTCGGGCGGTATGAGCGGTGCCATGGGTTTGATCTCTGGCTTCTTCTCCTCCTCCTTCTTGGGCGGTGGAGGTGGCTGTGGCGTAGGGGGCTTGGGCGGGGGCAGGGGAGGGGGCTCCATGGACTCGGTGGGTTTCCCTGCACTGTCCGAGGAAGTGGTGGTGGTGGAGGCACCGCTGGAGGCCGAGGTAGTGCTGCCCGGTGGGGGGATGGCGAAGTTGGGAGGGGGCTGACTGAAATTGGGAACCGCGTTCCTGTAGTTAGGGGGCATGCCTGGTCGCTGGTGAGGGGGGTACATGCCGTGACGGGGAGGGGGGTACTGGCCGTCTCGTGACATGGGGCCAGACATAGGGGGTAGGGGACCCATGCGGGATCTGGTAGGCGGCCCTTGACCAGGCATGGGAGGGCCCATGCGCATCGGGGGGCCTACCCGCACTCTCGGGCCACCGGGACCCATTGGACCAGGAGGTCCCATCATGCCTGGGCGAGGAGGGCCTCGAGGTCCATGCATCCCTGGGGGACCTCTAGGTCCTGGGGGGCCTCGTGGGGGTCCTCTTGGGGGGCCTCTCATGCCTGGAGGTCCCATCGGCCCACCTGGACCCATGGGAGGTCTGGGGCCACGTGGACCCATAGGACCATTGGGTCCCATTCTGGGTGGAGGTCCCATGCCAGGGCGGGGAGGTCCAAAACGGGGGTCATGAGGCGGGAACATCCGGGGCGGGGGCCCGCGGTAGCCAGGCGGCGGTGGTCCCCTTGGGTGATGCATGCTGGGCAGGTGAGGTCCCGGGTGCCTGAGTGGGGGGTGGTGGTAGGGGTCATGGCCGTAGTCGTAGTCCTCTTGGGCGTCCTCGTAGCCTTGCTCATACTCCCCAGAGCCGTCAAACTCAAAGCTCTCGTAGCCCGTGTCCTCGCAAAAGGATGGGTCGTGGGCAGACTGGTACATGTGGCTGTAGTTCTGGCCATCGTAGGCAGCGGGGTCCCCCCCGTGGTGCAGGCCCATCATCTCCCCGAGGTGCTCCCCGGCCATGAGCGGCTGGGGCTGGGGGAGGCCACTGGTCCCCTCTGAGCCAGGCACAGCCGCGGCAGCAGCTGAGGCCACAGCAGGAGTAGCACTCGACGTGCTGGCCACCTTGTCCTCGGCCACAGTGCTGGCAGGGCCCACACCCGCCGAGGTGCTGGTGGTTGTCGTAGCGCTCCCAGCACCCGCCCCATCTTTCCCCTCAGCTTTCGTCTTGTCGCCGGCAGTGGGCAGTGGGATATCTATGAGCCCCGCCTGGTCTTTCTTCTCCCCCTCGGCCTGAGTAGTGGCCGCAGCAGCGGGAGGCTCCTTACCCGGTAGAGGTATATCGTCAGGTGGGTTCCCTCCGCTGCCCTTTCCCGGTCCAGTACTTCCTGTGACGGGAGCCACCGTGATGGTGGTGACAGAAGCCGGCAGGACGGGCGACTTGATCCTCTTCCTCAGCTTGTGGTGGCGTCGCGAGCTGGGACTGCGCGAGTCGCTGCTCCTCCTTACACGGGCCCTGGAGCGAGAACGGGTGTAGCTGCGCGACCTGCTGTAGGAGCGGCTGCGCGAGCGGCTGGAGGAGGACCTGCTGCTGTAGCTATGGCTGCGTCGTCGGCTGGAGGAGGAGCGGCGTCGGTGGTGGTGGCGGTAGCGGGAGCGGCTGCGGCTGTAACTGCGGGACGAGCGGCTGTGAGAGCGAGACTGGGACGAGGACCCGTCGCTGTACCGAGAGTCGTCCGAGTAGCTACGGTACGAGCCTGAGGAATACGGTGATCGGGAGCGAGATCTGGACCGGGAGGTGAGATCCGAGGAGCTATATGACCTCCGGCTGCTGCGCTTATGACTTCTCGAGTCCCTCTGCGACTTGGAATTGGATCCCTCTTTGCTGGCCGCATCTGCTGCATGAGAATCGGCCTTGTCATTCTTGGACTTGCTCTGCTCGGGTCCGTTACTATTCTGGTGTGCATGGCTCTGTGGGCCCTGCTGCTGTCCGCTGTGTTTGGTTGGTGGAGCGCCCAGTAAACTGTTGGGAGCAAGCAACGTCTTCCCCAATGGGATCTTGCCGTTAACGAGCTTCGCTTCTTTCCTTTCAGATTTGTCCTCGTCGGAGAGGGCTGCCGGCCCATTGGGAGTGAGAGTCTTGGTGAGTACATCCTCAGCCTCGCTGTCACTGGTGTCCCATTTACTCTTGGTCCCCTCCACCTCCTCCTTCTTCTCATACAGACCTTCCATCTTGCTCCACGTGTCTTCCTGAACCTCAATCTTTTCCAATTTCCCTGTCTTGGACGGGGTAACCCCCTCACCCCCAGACAAGCTCGACAGACGCTTACGATTCACTGACACTTCCCCGTTCACCAGTTTCCCCTCTTGTGTTTCTTCTGTTTTAATACTACCAACATCTTTGAGGATTAAATCTTTGGTTTGAGCTTTCAGGGAGTCCCCAGCTTTCTTTTCCTGGTCCAGGGACTTCCGGTGGGTCTTGAACGTGATGTTCAAATCATCTTTGCTTGTGACTTCTAGTTTAACAGCTGTGTCTGTGAGGGAAGTCTCATGACCAGAACTTCGCCGATGTCTTTTCTTAGACCTGCGGAATCGCTTGATCTTTGGCTCTCCAGTGGGCTCTCGCTCCGTTTCTGAGGCAACCTGTGTCTCCTCTTCATCATTGTAGTCAATCTTCACTTTGGGTTCCTTGGCATTTACATAGTCTACCGCCCCTTCACCTTTGGTACCCGCTGCTTTCCCCTTGTCCGAGCGGGAGGAGCCTGGACGACGGTGCTTTCGCTTGTGTTTCTTCACATGTTTACGGGAACTATGACCTTTACTTTTCTCCTTCTCTCCATTCTGCAAACCCTCTTTCTCTCCTTCCTTTTCTTCTCCTTCCTTGCTCCCATCAGGAGCAGTTTCACCTTTCTTGCTGTGACTTCGCTTCCGCTTCACTTTCTTTTTGTCTTTTTTCTCAACGCCACCCTCACCTTCAACTTCTTTCCCTTCTTCTCCTCCTTCAGCATTCTCCTTTTTACTCTTGTGCCTTCTCTTCCTCCGCTTTTTCTTCTTTTTCTTCTCCCCAGTCTTCTCCTGTTGGGACTGTTCTCCAGCCTCCGCAGCACCCTCAGGCTTTTCCTCGCCTTCCTTTTCTCCAGGCTTCCCGTCTTCTTTACGTTTCGATCCCTTCTTCCTCTTTCTCTTCTTGTGGGAGTGTTTCCTCCTGGCCTTGCCAGCTTTGTCCGACTTGGCCGCCTCCTGTTTCTCCTTCTCCTCCACAGGCTTCACAGCGCTGGCCCCTGCAGACTCAGCAGTCTCCTCCTGGCTACCTCCCACCTTACAGATGTCTTTGAAATTGAACTGTAGAGGATTGCAGCTGTAGTGAATGGATGGGAGGGACTTTGTGTACTTGATCGTTTCTACAGGCCAGTCAATTTCATTGTGTGGCTCTTTGGCCAGTTTGACTTTGACAAAGGTCTCCAGCAGGCGAGGGTTCCCACTGCTGGCACTGCTAGACTCTGCACCAGGCATTGCCGCAGATGGTGCAGCGGTGGACGATGACGAGGGCAACTCTTCACTGGCCACACCGGCATCACCAGCCCTAAAGAGGACAGCAGAGACAATCTTTGAGTTGGAATTTTGCGTTACATTACAAAAATCAATGTTTATATATGTCAGAGTCGAAGACATATCCCATACCCATTACAGTTTAAGAATGAGACGTACCAAGATATGTATATATATATAAGACTACAATGTACCGAGCTAAGTTCACAACTTTAAAAAAATAAAAAGGACCTTGCAAAGTTCATGACTAAAACATACCCAGCCAAGTTCATGACTCGTTTCTCCTCCTCGATGCTATCCATGAGTGTAAGAGGTCTGGGCGGTGGCTCCTCGGCTGTTTCTGGCTCCTCCTGGTTGAAGGCTGATGTGACAGATATTTTACTGGTGGTTTTACTGAAGGAGAAGCACACATTGCTCTTGCCCAACTCCATGCTGACTTCCTTGGCGCTGAAATAACACGAGGCACAAGGGAAACTAGAAACACAACCGCAAGAAATAGGAACGTGCGTCACGCATAAAACCTTTATTTTTATAGTAGAAACAAGAAGAAACAGTTCAACCATTACCAATGTGCGGCACTTGCAATATATGTTGCATTAGGGTTGGTGTAGTATTCAGGGGCAGGCAAATTGCCTGTTTTTAAAGTTCTATGTTTATACAAATCAATCAAAACCAAAAGCATACACAAAGCAAAAAGTCCATCTTCACACCATATCGAGACCTAATACCTACATGAAAGCTAAAATCGTTAAACAATCCACTACACTTTCACAAAATGTCTTAGTTCCTTTACAACAGACACTAAGATGGAAAAAAGCAAAAGAAGTTCGATAGAAATCTTTGCCAGTTAGAAAACAACTTCACAAATCAATCACGGCATTTTAAATTCACAACACAAAGGAACATCAAATTAAGACAACCCTGAAGGATATTACTTAAGCAATAAATATAATAAAATGACTGCCCCTAGGGTTATACAGTCCCACACATATATACTGCTGTCAATGAACCCAATCTAAAACCACAAAAACCAAAAAATGAACCTTTTGCCTTGTGGGGGTGGCTCAGTCGGCAACAGAATGTCATTGAGATCTTCAACAATGTTCTGAAAGGAGAGAACATGAACTCATTGTAGGAAAAACATAAGTCTCATGCTGCAGAGAGGAGTCTGTGTGACAGACAAGAGGGTCTTGTATTCTTACACTACATCTACTGAGAACACTGACTATCTCTCATGAAATTGAATGTCTGTAAGAAACACAGGAATGAGGAATGCTGCAAAATCCTGCAGACAATCTTTTCTTTATAAGGCTCAGATACAGCAAATAAGACAATATGCAGAACAAAATCTAAATTATAGTCACTAGTCTACAAAGTCTAAATAGTGTATATATCATTCTGGCTTATTGAAAAATTACTCATGCAAAAATAAATTTGCATGAGCAGACGCAGACTGAAGCGCCGGCTTACCGTATCTTCCATGCGACTGTCTGAGGCCAAAACTTTGGGGCTCCCAGGGGGAAGAGGAACATCTTCTGTCTTGATGGGTGGGGGGATCTGGATCTCCGACATGTCCATCTAGCAGAGCAAGCACATAACCAACAAGATTAGAACAACTTTTCTAGACATTAAAAAATGCTTGAAAAACCTTAAAAAAACCTGCTAATGACCAATATAAATATCCGATATTTCTTTTACATTATAATATATGCCACACAGACTCTAGAAGTAGGCATGGTATTATAACGGTAAGATGCAAGCAACCATACACACAAAAAACATTTTACTGCACTCGACAGTCTGCCTTTTTTGGGAGCAAACTTCTCAATTCCACTCGACAAATCCTATAAAACACAATCTTATTTAGATAGCTGAATTTCACATTACTCAAAAATTTCTTCCTCCAGAGCGATTGCATAATAGCATAATAAAAATCTATAATCTTCGTTGAAATAGGAATAATGTACTTATTACAGACGCAAACTACCAAAAGTATCTCAATTATACAGCAAATAACTGACGGCAACCGATGCCCCCCCCCCCCCCCCCCCCCCATACATGCAAGCAGGGCTTAGTTGAAAGCACCTCTGACAAGTTGAGTCCTGCATATTTACCTGGTGCAAAGCTGACTCGGCAAACTGAGCCCCAGGCAGTGGTACTGATGAAACATCTAGTGGTTTGTCTTCCTTTGCCCCTGTCTGGCTAGACGAGGATGATTGTGTAGCAGATGAAGACGATGACGTTGATGATGAAGGAGCAGTGGACACAGGCAAATCCTTTGAGGCTCTGTCCGATTTGCTTGGTGTCGAAGGCTTCGTAACCTGAAACATTGAATACGAAACCAGTACAGTCAAACCTGCTAGAACAAACAACTGTCCAAGACAAGCACAAGAACAAATAGTAACTTCCCACTCCCTCACCCCCTCCCTTACGTTAATTCTACATTATAACAACACTGTCCAAGCCAACCACCTGTCTAAGATGACAACTTTCCCCCCTCAACAATGGGTGGTCATTTTAGACAGGTTTGGTTGTATCTGAGAACAAGTTCTGAGCATACTTACGAAATTTTCCTCTGTCCATAAAGCCCTCTCGTAACAATGCTGGGTGAATAAAGAATTTAAAATGGTACACTCTTCTGCTAGCTGAAACACACTTCAACAAACAAGTAAAAGTTCCAAACAAAATAAAAAAGTAGAACATATATAGAGCCGGAAGAGAAGAGTTCCTCCCTGACCTGGAAGCCATGACTCTCTCCCACCCTGCATCATATTCTGACCCCTGGCGCGAGCACATACCTCTGAGGCAGGGGAAGCCTTCACCACAGACTCCGTTGACTTGGTGGTGGAGCCCAGCTTGGCAGCCTGAGACCTGGTCATTGACCTCGTCGGGGTCTTCACCGTGGTCGTGGGAGTCTTGATGGTTATCTTGGCCTCCGACTTGGAGGAGCCCTGCAAAAAAAAAATTTAATAAATTAAAAAAATAATAGCAAATATAACTACTCAACAAAAAAATAACGGACATTGTGAGGATTCATGGGTTACTTTACTTTTACTTCACTTTTCCGATCCAGCGGCCATTTGGGTTCTAGCCCTTCGGTCTGTCGATATGGCAAAGAATTTGCAGGTTTGAATTCATGGGTTAAATCAATAAACATTGTCTTGTTCTAATGACATCACCAAAGAAGTGAAAGAATTAGCAGCAGCATATAGCTAGTCAAAATTATAATGGCCACATTTTGTCAGGAAATATTCACTCTTTTTATCCTGGCCGTACCCCCCACGGACTCTGTATCCGTCCTGGGGCAGCCGCGCCGTAAGAGTTGGAATCCAGGGTGTATATTTCAAAGTGCTGTATTTCTTACATTTACTCTCAAGTTTTTAGGAAATTTGGCAGTTATGTCAGAAATTGAATGTAGTTTTGGTAAATGTAAGTCGTTAGGAATTACAGCAATTGCACATGTAGATTTTGAGGTGTATTCCACCCTCCAACTTCACCCTGATTGCCATGCCCAAGATGTCCCTTTGGATTTATCGATCTAGCCCTACCCTTCACTACTGCGCGAATTCCAATACTGATCCCTTCACCATGATCTGAATCGCTATTGGATGAATCTAGTTCCTGTTCGTTATCCACAACGAAATTTACAGCACTTGATTCAGAGTCACTTTCATCAAATTAGTCTCACTCCCCCTCACAACTGAGCGCCACCTCAAAAAATTCCTTCGTTGTTCGTGAACGTGCGTTTTCGAGACATCTTCAAGTTTCGTCACCCATCCAAAACAAAGAAACCGCGGTTCATTGGAAAATTTTAATATTCAGACAGAGCTAGCATCGCTGAATTAGCATATCTTGGTAATTAGAAGCAGAACTATCTGTTCGATGTGACCGTATAGCTGTTCCGAGTTTACTCGTAGCCCGGACTAGTCCTCGTTACGAGTATACTCGTAACCCGGATAAAGAGTTAAAGCAACAGTTACATGAAAAAAAGTTGCAGGATCAGAACATGCACTAAATGATACTCTCCAAAAAGTGGCCCATTTATTCGAAGCAGCAAGATTATTACATTTTTTGTCATAATATGTTCTCACGTTTAAAATGTAAACCATTATTCCCAATACCGCCCAATCACAAAATCTTCAAAATAAGCAACCTATTCTACAGTTGGCAAGGTATCACCAGAGCCAAAATGAAGACCAGACATCAGAGCCCCTACCTTAGCAGGTGAGTGCACTTTTGATTGCACAGCTTTCAAGGCATTAGTCTTGGTGGGTGTAGAGCTTTTCCCAGCACTAGAGGATTCCGACCCAGAGGTTCCGGCACTTGCGCCATCCGTCAGGTCAACGCTAGGGCCAGCTCCAGCAGACGTCGCCTCCATGTCCGTCTCCTTGGCCACGGGCTTGTTGTCAGCAGCTGGGCTGGAATTGGCTTCCTCTGAAGATGTCGGCGTCTCCACGACACCATCCTTCTGCTCGCTCGCTCCACTGGTCTGCAGCAGCGGCACAGCAAAGGAAAAATAAGATTATTTTGAAAGGAAAAGAGCAAGACAGACATGAACAACAGAAAGATAGACAATAAGTAAGAGGACCTACCGGTGGTGCCCTTCAACCACCCTATAAAAGATTTCAAGAAAGATACCTTTCTAAACAAATTATTCCTCTTGCTTTCTTCATCTTGCCAGTAGCAACTGCGACCTTTCTTGCTCAGATCAAGTTTGCATCTTGTGTTGCCTTTTAGTGACACTTTTACAGAAACAGAAGAACCAACAGTGTTTACTTCAATGTTATTTACTCTGGATAATCTGTATCCCCCCCCGACAGAAAACTACAAGGGACTCTTACCGATGCATTTCCAGCAGCCGCAGTCTCAGGGCTGGTGTTGGCGCTGCCGTTTTTGAGAGGCCCAGCCACACTCCCTCCTTTTCCTGTGAGGAAGGGAAGCAACACCATATGACCACCTTATGTATGGACTAAGAGAGCCACAAAGCACAAGGGAAGAATGAATAAATCATCCACTGTCTCCACTGGGTTTCATGACAACATGGGAGGTGTTTCCTCTTTAGGATGGAATGAATACACGCAAAAATAAAATATGAATGTCCAAAAAGAATTTCAAAGACCATAATTTTCAGTAAGACTTATACAACAACGCAAACTTTTAGACCAAAACAAACAAAAAAACTCTCCAGTAAAAAAGCTTATTCGAAAACCACGAAGAGTGACTAAAGCTGAGCCGTTTTTATTAGCTGAAAAATCATTAGGTGCTTTAACATCATGTAAAATAGATTTAGGTAACATAAAAGAGACACGCTTGGCGTCGTACAAGAGCCTCTGAGAGAGTCCAGTTAGAGAGTCAGATTCGACCACCTGGTGCTCCTCAATATCAGCCACATAATCATAACATGACAATTCAAGACATTCTACTGTGGAGCCATCAACCCATTATAACAATAACTAGGGAAATTTCTGTTTATTTTGAAAGTGATCTACACAAATACTGACTCCTAGCACTACTCAATATCACAAGGTCAGTAGTGAGGGTTACACATCTAGAATTTCCATGAAAATAGAATCTTTCTTTTTATCAAACTATATAAATGTTGATTAACAGAAACTCCAAAGGTCTCTCTTGGCAAAATTCGTTACTGTAGATTCCAAACAATCTTTTTTTCTTCAGCTCACATTCTGTGAAATCCTAAGGTGCAACGTTCAATAGATCAGGCAAAGTTTAACTTAACATAAAAAAAACTATACAGTAACTTCAAATAAACAAAATCTGCTAGGTCAGCAGATCAAGATCTGTGCAACAGATACAAACGGTAAAAAAAAAATTTCACGAAGCAAGCTACATGACAATTGTGTGCTGGGAGACTAGTGCTTGTAGTATGAAGTAAACCCACACCATCACAGGCGAGCAGAGAGGGGAAAAAAGGGGGGAAGGGGAGAGGGGATAAAGAGAACAATATTCAATCCTCTCTCTGTGGCTTAGTCAGACTACACTATTGCTCCAGTACATATTTACAGTTGCTTACTGGCATAAAATGAATGGATCAGAGAAGCTCTCCAGTTACATTTTAGTTTCAATGTTCCTGCTGTTTACTTTGCAGAGCGTTTAAGATATAGTACCATGTTTAATTTTATTTCATCTAGAATCCCTTCAAGAATTATCTCTCCTTTTTTTTTTTACAGATATGGAATGGGTATAATATTGTAAGTAATTAAAGAGATGATTTTGGAACAAACCAAACAGAAATTGTTTTTTTAATCCAGAAAACTGTGATACTCGATGAAATGAAAGGTCACTACAATACAATGGCTCACACTATGATGATCCTTGTTGGAGTTAGACTGCAAACACACACAGATAGGTACAGGGAGAGGAGAAAAAAAAATGATAAAAAAGCTTCTTGCGTACACTGGGCAATTGTTGTGGGAATTCTTTTTCTGATAATGCTTGCCTTACGCAGCCAGTTTTACCTACAACAACAATAGCTTAAAGAAAAAGACTACAGCCATTTTCAGTTCTAAGTATGCAGAATCTGAGAAGTGATCTCTGGGAAAATGTATGAATGAGAGAGTGGCCAAGCAGTCTCACTATCACAGGAAATTAATGTTGCAGGATACAATACAGTTTGAGTACAACGCAGTCAGCCATTGTTAGGAAAATAGAGACCAGGCACAATAGCATGTCAAAGACAAAGAAATGCTTGTCAATAAATAACCCTGTCCAAGAATAAATCAAACCTCAGCTCTGTACCAATGTGGGAACAGGATTCATTGCCTCAACAAATTTATTAGCCATTTAATGCGGCATCGAGAATTTATCACTACCATTACAAAACTTCCCTTTCTACGAAAGTCGTAAAAGTTCTGTAGTAAATCTATTTTCTAATTGGAGATTAAGCAAGGGTGGTTTTTTTTTTTAATAAGACTAAGACTGATATGTATTGCATTTCCCATGATGACCTGAGTTGGAATGTATGACCATGGGATTGTGTGCATGAGTGTGTGTGTATGTTTGTGTGCCTGTGTGGGTATTTGTGTGCATGTGTGTATGTGTAGCCACTGATGCAGAAGGAGCCACTAGATGTCAACAAGAAGGCAGTAGCATTATTGCAGTGTTGCTTTACCAACACAACACAAATGAGTGGGGTTGGGGGTTAGTAACTGTCCTCCTCTGACAAAGATTGGGCAGGGAAACAATTAACTCTCAGAACCCGCAGTTACAATGTTTAAAGTTAAGGGACAATGGAAAGAGGGGTGTACAGCCAAGAAGAAAACAGGTCTCAAACCATTAATACTTTTTTTCTTTCTTTCTATGAAAATTTCTTTTCTCTTCGACAATTAGGAATTCTTAACTCAAAAACAAGTCTTTTTTTAAAAGAGTTACTGAACACTTTGAAGGACTTGCTCCACTGCAATGTCAGCACTGAGACTAGGGCGGGAAAGGAATAACTGGTGCTCTTCTTGCATGTAGCATTACTTGCTGTATCGGCTCGCTCTACGCAAACTATATTATGGTCATGGATTCACTTTCTCCTTGAAGAGCCCCCATACAGGTGACTGCCAAAAGCTGCCAATGTTTTGGGTTCAGAGAGCTAATGAGATGTGATGCAAACAAAAGAGCCTGATCTCAATGGGAAATAAATAAATGAGTGAACATGCATAAACTAGAGGCCATCTGATTCATCCACACAACTAATAAAAAAGAAAAACAAAAACAAACAAACAAAAAAAAAACAATCTACGAGCAAACTAATCATTAGCCATGAACAATGTACAAAAATGAGTTATTCACAAAATGAATGAAACATGAAAATGGGTGAGTGAATTGTACCCCGATATCCATTTCAAACACAAGTCCGTTCCAACAGTTCTAAAAGGGGGGAAAAAAAAGTATAGTTTACATGAAAAATAAGGAGAATGTCAAATACTGTGTTTGAAAAGAACACCAAGGAACAATGGGTGAGGGACTTGAGCCTCCCAACAAGGGTAGCTTCTCCAATGGTTTGATATCAGTTCCATCAGGGATCAGAACTCTCAGAGGTATGTTACAACAGCAGCAGAAGCCACACCACTACCATTACATTTAAACATCAGACTTGCACAGGACAAATTTCACCATTAAAAGGAACGGAAAAAATAGTCATGGTTTTGCTTTCAAAGTCATTTCTATGGGGGAGGGGGGGGAGGGGATGAGACAAACTTTGGTATTTCAAACTTTTTAAGAGCTGTTCTGATCCCAGATTTCACAGGTGTCCCCAAAAAAATAAAAATAAAAACAAATAAAAATGAGAGAAAGGGAAAGAGAGAGGTAAATAAAAGGAAGTGGCATACAAATGTACAAACTGATACCCTGTTAAGACATTCTGCAAGAGAGAGAGAGAGTCAGATGACAGGGCGAGAGGTGGGCATAGGAACCAAAACAAGCATGCTCAGAATTGCTGACTGTTTGTTATATATATATATAGTCTCAAACACAAGAGTCCACCTTAAAGCCACAAAGCATAATAATAATATTGCAAAAATCAGTTTGCCAGTGTCTGCTGGGCTAAGCATTCACTGAGTGACAAAATATGCGAGAAGCAAGTCCTCCATGCCGTGACAATAGTAATTTACACAACTCCACAGGCAAAAACTGTATGAGACCTCACTCTGATTCCAACTGGACTCAAGATGGCTCCACACTGACAACAACAATGGACATAGACACACATGATAGCTCACAGGTGTACAGGATATAATGATGAAACAAAGCCAGAGATTGGTACAAGTAGAACACCACCCGGACAAGCCATCCAAACAAGCACCAAGCTCACATTCCACCAAACTTCTTGGCCAGTATTAAGGTCAGAAGCTATTGGTTTTACTTCCCCCTCATGTCTACTAACGCTTTCTTCATCTTAATTCACATTGTACGTGGAAACACAAGTCTTTCCAGTCTTCCTGACTTCTTTTTCACGGTGTAGTAACAAAAGAGCAGTTAAAGTGTTTCAATTAAGACAACAACATATCTTAAGCCAGATTTACTAAGTTCATTTTCAGTACAAAGGACAAGTCATAGTACTGATCAGTAGAATGAACACAGCAACAACAACAACAACAACAACAACAACAACAACAACAACAGGAACTGCATCAAAGTCAAGGAAGGGGAAAACTGGGAGCATCACACAATACAAATCTTTATCATAAATGATCTCGTAACCCAACACAAAAATGTCAATATCCATTAAAACATAGAATGTTTTAGTCCCATCTTAGCACATCACCCTCCTTTTTTAAATGTCATAACCAAAACAGTTATCTTTTTTTTTTTTATCTTGGAGCTGTGAAAAAAAAAAATCAAGAGTCAAGCACAGGAGCCTCTAAATTGAAAGGAAAAAAATCTTTACCATTATGATTATTATCAATCATTTCTACACTTTGTGTTTAAAATTTCAAACTTTTCGTCAGGGAATAAAAAGCAATTAATTTTTTTACAATAGGACATTATAAACCATCACTGCTTGAACAAAAAGAGATATAAACAAGAGCAACCCAATTAGTGCACAAAGAACTTACACGCTGATTCTCTCAACAATCTGTAAAAACGATTCAAGATATCAAGTATTTCCATTAATTCTTCAACCCGTATCATCACGAATCCAGTAAACAAGAATCATGCACGACTCAGTGGAACATTATATCAATTTGGATTGATTTATTCTTTTCAAATCTTTAACTTAATTGTAATTTATGGTAAGAAAACATTTAATTCCATAAATTTAGTCCATCTATTCAACTTTCACAAAATTCCAAAAGAGACATTAACTCCCACTGTTGTATCACGCACAGCTTCAAAAACTGAGAGCAACCATTTTAACTATACGGGAGTAAAACTTGGTAATTTTAAGTATCTTTCAGGATGAAAAGTAAGATCATATGAGCAAATAACAGCTCCTTTTCAAAGCCATCCTCTTTTAAATGTCTATATATTTTGGGGGGGTGATAATTTCCCTGCAGCCAGGGTTTTTCTTTATAATAATGAACAAAAGAGTATGTAGAGTAACAAGCAGAAAAGTCAACCAAGAGGGGAAAACCAATACAACTACCTGATGTCCCCTCCAACCCAGCGTCTTACACGTCCTGACCATTAGCACAACACACAGAACACCAGTGACTCTGCTCATTAGTACAATACATGGTCTACACTACAGAAGCTCTTTGTTACAAACTGTCGTAAGGCGCCATGCAGCCCACTGTGACCAGCGAGCACTCACGAGAACACCCCAGAATGAATGAGAAAAAAACAGCCCAATGAAACGAGTGTAAAGGTTAGCCGGAGATGTAAACCACAACTAAAACTGCATAAAATACAAAACCACTCAAGCAGACAAACAAAGAAACAGGAGGAATTAGCTGATGTGATCTGTGTAAAGACAGGATTACTCAAGAAGGTTTAAGAAGAAAAGCAAAATATAGACATGGCTTTTGGGCAGGTGGCAACGGAGAAAAACTCGAAAATGGCAGGAGAGCTTAAATTGTGTACAAGCCAAGGGTAATATAAATTGGAAAAAGAAAAATCACATTACGGTCAAATTAATGATGATTAGTAGATGCCATGGTAGTAGTGGAAGCAGTAATAACCTGTGTCTCTGAACATACTAGGACAACACTGTAGATATTCCAACCATGCTGGCAGAACAACATGTGTGCAAGAGAGACAGAGATAGACAGAGGAGCCAAACAGGGCAACTGTCACATCCCCCCACCCCTCCGTTTGTTCCCAAGCACACTTACTGGTAATGAACACAACACTGACATACTAACTGGCTGCCCACCACAGAACATGGGTGGAGGGCTTTAAGCAGACAAAAACAGACACATTTTTTATCCAATGAGGAAGCGTATTCCTTCTGGTGTCCTGTCTATGTTTAACCAATTGAGAGAGCATGAATAACGCCCATACAGAACTATATAAACAATTAACGACAATTTTTCTCACCATCAGATCATTACAAGAATTAGAGCTGCATTCTTTCCACTATTATGATTTTATGCAGATAGTTTCTATTGCGTCTGAAGAAGAAAAAAGAATTAGCAAGCTTGTCTCCCTTGAGAGCTCTGACAACCAAATGGAAGTCAAATCTCCTATCTTTGCCCCGACCACGGGAGTGTAGAGAAAAGAAAGTCTACTAAACAAGACTGTCAACAACACAGCTACAAAGTTCCACAAGACACCTAGGAAACGTTGATGGTGATAGAAGCTAAGCCGCATACATCATTCTGTGCCTGTACAAATACTGAAAACTGTGGTGAGGTTAATGATGGAAACCTATCCCATGATCCACGAACATGCAATTACCTCTACTAGATGTTATGCACAGACAGCGTTACAAATACAATGGACTGCCACAAGGAAGGGAAATAAGCATTATCCAAGTCAATCCAAAGATGGAGGAAACTGGTTATAATCAGCATAGACCCCAACTTGGGGACAACCGTGTAAGCTACAAAGGTACTTTGGGGAAAAAAGAAATATGAAAGGCACAAAAATGCCATGTTTTGATTAACAAACACTGCTCAACAATCTGTTATCTTAAAGATCATAACACCATCTTCTGCTGAAAGTGGAAGGGCCTAAAGAGACTCATAAAGAGTCCCACAAAATTTCACTGTGTCTTGTGTGTTTTCTTTCTGTGAAAGACAAGAGCTCAGCAACTGCAGTTGGGGGGGGGGGGGGGGG